AACTCTCTCTCTCTCTCTCTCTCTCTCTCTCTCTCTCTGTGTCCAGTACTAACCTGTGAACTTGGCGCCTTGATGCAGGTACCTCGAAGATGGAGCTGGAGCTATGGCGCCACAGGTAAGTACCGCTGGCCTCCGCCAGCCATCTCTCCCAACTCTACGATCTACCACCTAATAGCGCCCAGCGCTGAAGACTACAGCTATGGCTATGGGCGCCCAGCGCCGAAGACTACTACTAGCTCTAATACTACTGCCTAGCGCTGAAGACTACTGCAGCGCTCCTCCTGAGTGCTGCGGCCGAATCCTGAAGACTACTCGTGCCTACTGACAACTACCTACCCGTGAAGTGCATGGGAACTTCCTATGTACTACCGGGTGTGCCTCCTGACTGCAGGCGAGCAGTCCAGGAGGCTGCTCTTGCCAATGCCGAAGGGAGGCAGGGGCTGCAGCTGCAGCTCCTGCTCGAGCTGGCGTGGGGAACAAGCTATTTCTAGCCTGTTCCCGAAACCCTGTTTTTGTGCCTGAGTCTTAGGTAGGTCGAACACAATGAGGGCCTGAAAATGACCCTCCGTTTCAGGCTGAAAAGCCTCTGGGCCTGAAAGGCCTAAAATAGGCTGAAAACGGAGTAGGGCGTGCAGGCCCTCGTTTTTCAGCTTTCAGGCTGAAACGACCGGGGCCTGTAAGCCCTATGTTTTAGGCTTTTAGGCTGAAAGTGCGGGACGGGCCCTGCAGGGCCCGTGTGGCTACGCAGTATGCCACCCCCCCCCCTCCTTGAAAGACCGAGCTTACCTGCGAGGGCGAAGCTGTCTGTCTGAGGGAGGGACCACAGTCCGGGTGGGAGGGGCAGGTCGTGGGGGTCCCTTGGCTAACCTTTGGCACTCATAGTGAGCGTAGATCAGCGGTGCGGATGCTTTCAAATCTGCTTCTGAAATCCACCGAGTGTCGTCGGGATCGCATGCTCTGAATGTAACTTTGTACTGGCGCGGCTTGCTGCCATACTTGCGATCTGAGATGACGCGGTCAACCTCCTGATGACCATCCATAGATGGAGGGTCCTGCGATCGTCTGCCCGGGAAGTCGTCGCTCTTAGCTGGTGTATATGTTGCCAGCTTTGATGCGTGAAAGACTGGATGGACCGTCAGATGCTCKGGAATGTTGATCACAAATGAAGGGCCATCGGGCTCATCGCCCGCGGCTGCTGTCACAGACCAAGGTCCAAACCACTTGGGAAGCAGTTTGCGTGAAACATCCTGTTCCAGTGCAAACTCTTCCGCGGAGAACCAAACCAGATCACCGGCGCGGATGGGACATGGCACGCGATGCCTGTTGGCTTGCTGCTGCATGCTGACTTGAGCCTTTCGCATGTTCGCGCGAGCTTGAGTCAGCAATTCCCTGTACTTCCGGACGGAAGCGGGAGAGCAAGCGGTGTCAATGTCGGCTGGTCGAGGGAGGAGAAGGTCAGCGAAGATATGGCCTTTCTGTCCACCGTGGTGCAACTCGAATGGAGTCACGCCAATCGCCGGGTGCACCGAAGTGTTGTAGGCGAACTCGATGTCAGGGAGGCGGTCAACCCAGTCTTTCTGGTCCGGACGGATGAGCGTACGAAGCATCATTTGAGCGGTCTGATGTGCCCGCTCTGTTTGCCCGTCCGTCTGTGGATGCCGAGCCGAACGTGGTTTCATCTTCGTGCCGGACTCCTGCATGAGAGCAGTCCAAAATGCCGACATGAAGCGAGTGTCGCGGTCGCTGACTATGTCTTCTGGTACACCGTGGCCACAAATCCAACCGGTGTGCAGGAGGCGTGCCAGCTCGGGAGCCGTGGAGTAGTACTTGCAAGGAAGAAAACGCTCGTACTTACTCAATCGGTCCACAACCGTGAGGATGCCGTCGTGCCTGAGCCGGTCGCGAGGGAATAGACCGACGATGTCCATGGCAATGGAGAGACCGGGTTCCCGTGGGATAGGCATCGGGTGTAACTCGCCGTAGGGATTGCGGTTGCGGGGCTTGCTGCGTCGGCAAACTTCGCAARAGTCGCAATRCCGAGTGACATCGGTAATGAGGTCGGGCCATCGGAATCGTTGTCGAAGCCGTGCAATAGTGCGGTTGACTCCGAAATGGCCGGCGAGTCGCGAGTCATGGAACTCTCCGAGAACGGGAGTCCAAAGACGACGGTCATCTGGGACACACAATAAGTCCTTGCCTCTCGAGTGGAGGAGCAAGTACCCGTCGGCAATGCGATAGTGGCTGGCCGGCGGGTGATCCGAAGATAGCTGTGCATATAGCGTGGCAAAGTCCGGATCAGACTCGTATGCTCGGATGAAGTGTCGTTGAAGCTCCTCGTCGAATGCGAAGGCATGATGTGTCATAGCGCAAAGATCAGGTCTTCGCGAGAGTGCATCTGCTGCGCGATTTGAGAGGTCGAGAAGATGTTTCGGTGTGAAGTCAAACTGGTCGATGAAGTACATCCATCGTCCGATCGTGCTGCTCACCGTATCCTGCGTCTTGTAGTAGGTCAATGGATTGTTGTCCGTAACCCATGTGAACCTACGACGCCCAAGGAGGAAGTGTCGCCATCGCTTGAGAGCCATGACGAATGCGAGCAGCTCCTTCTTCCTTGCATCATCAAGCGAGTTGATGGGAGGCACTTTGTGGCTGAAATACTCCACAGGGTGCCAGTCGTCGCCGTCGTGTTGTTCCAAGACTGCCCCAATGCCAGAGCCGGAAGCGTCCGTAGCCGTTCTCGTCGGCAGGGTGGGGTCATAGATGCTAAGGACGGGTGCCATGAGCATGGTCGTCTTAAGTGCTTGGAATGACCGGCGTGCGTCGTCATCGAATACGAATGGCACCTTTGGCGACTGTAACCTCGTCATAGGTGCAACAATCCTGGAATATCCGGTGATGAATCGCTGATGGTAGCCCGCCAACCCCATGAATGAACGAACGTCCGTGGTGTTGGTGGGCTCGGGCCATACTCGTAGGGCCTCGATCTTGTCCGCAAGCGGACGGATGCCTTGCGGCGTCACGTAGTGTCCCAGGTACTCCAGCTCCTGCCGCGCGAATTCGTACTTGTCGCGGTTGGCTTTGTACTTGGCTTGTCATAGCCGCTCCAAAACGGTGCGCAGGTGTTCCACATGCTCCTCCAAACTCCGGCTGTACACCAAGATGTCGTCGAGGTAGATAAGTACATAACGATCCAGCATGTGTCGGAACTCCGTTGTCATAGCCGCTTGGAAAGTGGCTGGGGCATTCGTAAGGCCAAATGGCATGACCAGCCATTCGAAATGCCCATATCGCGTCTTAAACGCGGTCTTGTAGCGATCCTCCTTCCGAATCTCGAGTTGGTGATATCCCGACTTGAGGTCCAGCTTGGAGAAGAACTTGGCGCCGCCCAGTCGCTCAAGAAGATCGTCGATGCGTGGGAGAGGGCCGGCGTTTCTGATCGTCTACGCGTTGAGCTTGCGATAATCAATGCACAACTGCATATCCTTGTTCTTCTTCCGGACGAAGAGAACAGGAGCACCGTATGGCGATGAGCTAGGCCGAATCCAGCCTTTCTCCAGAAGGTCGTCGAGTTGTGCCCGAAGCACACTTAACTCTTCCTCGCTCATTCGGTAGATGCAACCGTGTGGAGGTACGGCCCCGTCCTCGAGGATGATCTCGTGGCGGATGGGTCGATCCGGTACCGTGTTGGCCTTCGAACACGCCGCTGTAGGCGTCGAGAAGTTTGGTGATGCGTGGATCCGAAGATGAGTCCGTCGATGACTCGTCTTGGGGCGGGAAGGCGTAGAGAAAACACACCCCCATCTCCTCGATGTCGTCTCTGCTGATGGAAGCTCGCATCTTGCGGCAGATACCACGTGACAGCTGACTGAAGGGTGAGGAGGAGCTACCGTGCATGGGACTAGTACTCCGTTCCGATCACGAATGTGAACGGTGCGGCGGTAGAAGTTCACCGGGTGGTCCTCGCTTCGCAGCCATGACATGCCCAAGATCATGTCAAATTTGGTGTCCAGGATGTCAAAGGACACCGCCTCACTTGCATGAGGGGCAAAGTACATGGGGACGTCGTCAATGCACCGGTTGATTGACTTGTGCGTGTAACCGTCCACCAATGTGACTTGCGTGGGATGGGACTTCCTTTGGACTCGTGGGCTAAGGCCGGCGCGTACCATGAAGTCCTGACTCATGTAGTTGCGAGATGCTCCGCAATCAATCAAAGCGCTGCAGGTCGCCTCTCCGATCTGAATGCGTACATATAGCRATGGYGYGTCGATGTCRTCGTACCGTTGCGTCTTGAACTCGCGGTCGATCTTCGCAATGTAGGCGTGAAGGTCGACAACCTCTACTCCGACGTCCATCAACGGAGTCGGTACTGCAGTGTGCAAGTAATCCCGCAAGTGTGCTTTGAGCACGTTGCAATGCGGTTTCGGCAATCGACCGGACCGGGGCAGGGGCATCCATTGGAAGTCCTCAAAAGTCAACGGGTCGAGCTCTTCAAGTCTTGACCATGACGTTGAATCCCCGACAGTAGATGGCGACGAAGCTGCCGAGTCGGTTGCCGATGGTGATGAAACCGTGCATGCGGTAGATTGTTGCACGTGGAGCGGTTGGTCCAGTGGTGGGACCAAGTGGACAGCATAATCCTCGTAAGTGTACCGAGGACTTGGGACATGCGCATCCTCCCCAGATGTGTAGGAGGCCGCTAGCAAGGCGGCCGAATCTGGCGGAGTGAGAGATGGAGTCGCCTCACCTCCTGCGCAACTCAGTTTCCCGAGTTAAGACGAGGCCGCACATCCTCCTTGGCATGATCCTGGCAAATGGAGGTCTTGTGCTTGGTGTTGTTGCACCAGTAACAGCAGCCGTAACGGTTGCGGTACTTGTACTCGGCCTCGGTCAAGCCGAACTTGACCCATGGTGGTGCTGGCTGTCCGTTTCCGGCCTGCGATGCTGGTTTCGCCTTCCCGTTCACTCAGGGCTTGATGTTGCTTCGCGGCTGGACAGCAGCCACCTGATCTCCCTCACGTGACGCTTGGGTGGCTGCTGGGTCTTCCACAGTGTCCGATTGGACTGCAGCGAACTGCTGCTGTCGCGGACCAGTTCTCACCTTCTCCACATAGGTTGGCTGCCACGTTGACTTCTCGTGTGCAGCTGCCCTGTTGGTCTTGATGATCTCTCTTGCCTTGTCAATGATCTCGACGAAAGTTGCATACTGCTCGCGATCACCAAGTGCCTGGCTCAGTGCAGCGCATGACCTGTTGTAGAACTCATGGCGTAGATGCGTGAATGGTAAGTCAAGATCGGGCACTGCCGCGATCTTCTGTCATTCCGTGAGCCAGTCACGTGTTGATGTGTTGCCTTGAGACATGGTGAAGAGACAGTTGATGGCTAGTGCCGGTGCGTCGTCGACGATGAACCGCTTCTTCCACAACCGTGTTAACTCTTCCCATGTGATCTTGTCCTTCAGATCGGCGACATCGATGCTGTGGGTGGCTGCCAGGTGAGTCAACCAGATCTGGCATCTGCCCTTTGAGTTCATGAATAGGGCGCCGATGTACGTGTGCTTGGCAACAGGCAGAATCCGCAGTTGCGTCGTGAAAGCTTCCCACCAGAGCACCGGGTCCTGATGCGTGTAGTCGTCGATTTTCTCCAGTTGAAAAGTTGGCATCTTGTATTGCTTAGGATTGCCATCCGAGTTTGTCGACTGCAGTTGCTGGACCTCAGTCTTTAGCGTGTCTAGCTGGCTGCTGATGGTGGTCGGCGCCGCGAAGGTGCTGATATTGCCCAGCATTGCCACTACGTGGTCAACGCGTTCCTCCAGTTCGCGGCTAGAGGGTGCACTGCTGGAAGCCCCAGCATCTGGTCCTAGTACAGCCTGTTCCAGGTCCAGTACACGGGAATTGAGTGTCCGTGTTGCATCCTCGTGGCTCTGCACCATCCGGCGGATGTTTGCCAACTCATGGTGCTGTGTCTTCAGATCCTGGTACTGTTGCTGCATTTCCTAGTTTTGTCTCTCCAACTCAGACCGTTGGTAGTTGCAAGCATACAACAACCGTGTCACGAGTTTGGAGAGGAACTCCTTATGTTGCTCTTCCGGTGTTTGACGTCGCCGTTTGGTTCGAAGTGCCAGAACTTGAGTCTTTCGATGCTTGTGGCTTCATGCTGCTGCAGCAGATCCTGGGCTTCCTTGCGGCGAGCCTGGGCATCTGCGTCTGCTTCGGCCTGTAGCCGCAGCTTCTCTGTTGTTGCCGCTTCTTCAGCCTGTAGTTGGGCAGCCTTGGCTGCCAGCTGGCGTTGTTCCTCAGGCTCGATGACAGCGAGCTGAGCCTGGAAGCGCTTTTTGTAGTCGGCAATGGGCTCATTGGCCAGTTGGCCTGGCAGGCCCGTCATGTTGCTGACGTGGCACTGTGTCTGATGTGTGGCACTGTGTCTGACGTGGCACTGCTTACGTGGCACTGTGTCTGTCGTGGCACTGCTGACGTGGCACAGTAGCTGACAGGTCACTGTTGGCATGGCCTGCTGACGTGTCACTGTAGCTGACGTGTCACTGTGTCTGACGTGGCACTGTTGACGTGTCACTGTAGCTGACGTGTCACTGTTGACGTGGCCTGCTGATGTGTCACTGTTGCTGACATGTCATGTACCAACCCGGAAATGCATGCAAAGGGGTGTGTGGGAGGGAAAACGCAGATAGGAAAACAACCCAACAATACTTTCCTCCGGCCCTAATCAACAGATAAAATCACTAAAAAAATAAAAAATAAAGAGGATTACTTCCTTTTTTTTTTTTTTTTTT